AGAAAGAAAGAAAGAAAGAAAGAAAGAAAGAAAGAAAGAAAGAAAGAAAGAAAGAAAGGAGAGAGAGAGAATGGTTCAGAAATGGAAATCATCAATATTTGAAATTTTTCAAAAAGTGATGAGCCACTTGGGTCATTGCAAAGTGTTGGAGGAAACGAAGTTAAACTTTAGACATCTCCCCACTGTGGTACACCAACTCTGGCCTGTCAAGCCAAACACTTAACAATATGATCTCAAGAAATAATTGCAAATATGGAAAGTCAAACGTTATCTTACACAAAATTAATATTCTCAAAATTTAAAAGTTGTAATATTTTGCTATCTTATTCCATTCTTCCAAGTAAACATCAAAGAGACACTTTTTGTCCTATATTAGGAAAGTTGATATAGCTAGATAAGGGCTTCTCAAATTTGAGGAAGATATTAATAATCCATGCAAGATACAAAGGTGTTCAAATGAACATGATGATAGTAGTTGGCTCAGGTAAAATAAACAAAAATAAAGGTGAGAACACTTTTGTGAGGCATAGAGAGTTAGGAAAAGTGAAGGAGAGACAAATGATCTCTTGTATCTTCAAAAATTCTTCCACTAAAGTTGATCATTGAAAATTCCATAAACAGTTCAAAATAATTAATTAATAAGTAATTAATAATGAGTATTTTTTCTCAAAAGTTAGCATAATTTCCTCTAAATTAAGATACAATTCTGAAAGAAGACTCATTAAACTCAATGAGCATTGCTTCACATGTTGTTAAATTGTGATGATTATAGCTAGATGATAAGGATTTAAAGATGGGGCAGAGACAACATTTGGTGTATGTAGGATCAAAATAGTAATTACAATAGTAATTGGAGTAGACAGAAAGTTAGATTCCCTGTCAGGCCAAGGAACAGACACATTTTGCAAGTGCTTCTAATATTAAGACAGAGGTAGATGATGTTCAAAATGAATCCTAGAAAAACATAAATTACTTTTCTTTTTGGTACAGTCTTGCAGAATTGTTGTTTCTGCTAAAATAGTAACACAAACTACACTGTTTCCCAGACTCTATTTTAAATCATTTGCTAGGAAATAAAGGTGAAGGAGAAAGAAGTACATATGGGTTTGAAGAAATTTATAAAGGAAACCAAAATAAAGGTTTTGAGGGCATTCAACATAAAAACAGAAGAGACTTAAATATGTATTAGAGAAAGCCAGTAAGTTCTGAACCAATATACGTGGGTGCCAACCTTTTTCT